TTGGGAAAATACGATGGGAAAAAATGTTTGTGAACTTCTGATTAGTGATTACAATATTCTTCTTTTGAAGCATTATTTAATGTATACAAAATATAAAAACCCTTAAACTCGACTTCTATCACGAAGATCTGAAGGACTTTTGGAAGCAATGATTATTATACTGTAATCATGAGAAATGTTTGGCCATTTTTTTTGGAGGTAATGATAAGACCAATCACATGGTTTAAGATAACATTTATTATCATAAAAATGATAAACATATATTTAATGGAGGTAGAATGAAACATAGGCCCACGGATATAGATACTAGTAGGTATGTACCACAGAAATAGATATCTATATATTATCTGTTTATTATCTATATCTGTGGTATATACCTATAAACTAATGGACAGCGCTTAGAGAGATAGGTCAGAGCATTTATTACAATTATTACAAACTGTATGTCTGTACTCTCCAGTTAAATGATTATGATCACGTACAGGTAAATTATTGTCATTACATTTTGATTTGCAATACGGACATGTCCCTAGATCTGCAATATTTCTGTGTTTTATTGTTTTCCATAGTCATTGTAAGGGGTACATTAGTTTGTAATAATTTTTCTATGTTCTTAGCGACTTTCACAATGTCATCCATGAACCTCTTTGCAACATTTCCTTTGCCCAAACTAGAATCTCCTCTGAACATTACTGGTTTGGTTGAAATATTATATTTATTCAGTAATTCAATTGGAATATCTTCAGAAGGTTTTATATAGTAACAATAACTCATCAAGTCATGATCATGAATTATACAGGTATTTCTTGTATTATTGGAATTATTTTGTTTAACTAAAAAAGATTCAAAATCAGCGTATAAAGCAAATGGGTGTTTTTGTGTCCGTTCATAATTTTCAAATTTCATGAACGTGTTTGGTTGTGGCATTATGGGTCGTAGAGGTTTGTTTTTGTTGCATAGCAGCTTATGGTCAGCCAGCCGTTGTTCAACACTAGTATCGCCTACCCCCGCCGAGTAGCCCTTAAAACATATTTTACATATTGCAGCACAGCTCGTATGTAATGTAATCTGTGATCGTACTAGCCTTGAAAGACTCGTAATCCTACAATAATGTTGTTTACCGTCTCCAAATAATAATAAGTCATGGTGGTCCTCGAGTTCCTCTTGACACACTTTTATCGAGTAGGTAAACAATATATTGAACAGATTTCTTCTTACAACGTTTGACTCTTGAAATATTAGCTGTTTGTATATTATTTTTATAGCTGATTATCCCCCGTTTGAGGCTATATACGTTGATCGAAACGTTAGGATTACGAGCTTCAAATTTATGTTTTATATCTTTCACTTGAACAGGGTAGCTTAATTTTGAAAAATTATACATGTTTTCTATTTGATAAAAATGCTGTCCTACTCGGAATGCACTACTAGCGTTTAAGTGTTTTGCTAAAAAGCTGTACTTAAAACACTTTTCGTCCGTGTTTTTAGTGTTTACTATAGCTTTTTTATTTTCAATACAATCCGACAGTTTAATATAAGACGAACCTCCTAGAGCCGTATACTTATTACTTATTTATATTAAGTAAAATACCATCAATGGATACGATAGTGTATCCGCTCCCTTTTATTTTCATATCGTTTTCTTCTTGAATAATTTTTATGAAATTTTGATCTAATTTGTCGTCTATGTTACAGCTTAAATACAGAGGTACACATTTAGTTTTAAATGCCCTATTTGATGTAATGTTTGTATGTGGTATACCATACGTTGCCTCTACTGTTATAATATATTTTATGGGACACGACTGGATTTCAGTTGCTAATAAATCCTTTATTTGAGGTTTTAACAATTTCAAATAAACGTCATAATCCTTTATATGTTTATTGTTCTTTTTAAAATATTCGTTACAAAGTCCGTTAAACGCTGACGCAACTTTAACAAAACCAGACGCTGAAGCTGGATAATTATCTATAAGTTTGCGTTTATTTGAACCATCGGTGTTTGTTTGATTGGAATCAATACCTATTATATTCAATACCGATTAAACTAAAAAAAAATATCATTAAACTTGAACAATTACCTTTTCCGGGTTCTGAATAACTGTCTAATGCTTGAACCAATTCATTTTCATAAATACTATTGATCCATAAAGAATCTATGTTTGATGTTATTTTACTTCGTTTGCTACTAGATTCACAGTCCTCCGTAAACTTATCTAGTGTTCGAGCCATTTCCACTTCGTCAATTTCATTGTCCCATAAATTTTCATCATTTTTTGGTGGTATGAAATCAACTTTACGACGAGAAATGCCTATAATATATATGTAGCTATAAATATTACACTGAAAATAAATGATTTAAATAATATGTTTACGATGGATATTTTTTTTATGACGATTGCAGTCAAACTTGTAGTTGAAAGTTTTTGGACATTTGTCGCACATAAATTTAACATTTTTACGTTTATTTAAATGCCTCTTTAATGAGTATTTTCGAGTATAAGTCGCACTACACTTTTCACAGTTAACCATTTTAACGGAAAAAAAACACGGAGCGTTTTATAATAAACAAAAAAATAAAAACACGGATCGTCTAGCGAATACGTTGTTGCAGTAGAAATGCAAATCAACTAATGGACGCTCTACCGCGCGTTGGATATGTAAGTACCCTGACAAAAATAAAGAAATGTAGAATAGACTACCACTTACATATGATGTATTTGCAATAAACGTGAGTAAAATCGGGTAATTTAAAACGTATGTATTTCTAAAAGATCGAGATTAACACACGTCAGTCGTCACACATATTATGTTCAGCACATTGTTTTTATACTACAATCATGTACATTTGGTTGTGTAAACTGAACCCCTTAAAATGCAATTATTACACAACAAGTATCGGATAACGTAATATAAAGAAAGTCTATCATGCGTTGCGGCCGACTGTCACGGCACACACACATCGGTTCAAATAATGTAAACAAAAGGGACCACTGTAATGTTTTTTGTTTATATTACTGAGAATATATATCATGCGCGTACTAATCTTATCTTTGTAAAATGATAAAAATAATATTTTATTGTATGACTATGAAATTTGCTCACCGTGAATACTTTTCTCGTGTCGTCTGAGAGCATCCTTTCAGCTAAATAAATTACCACAAATAGTACACTTGAATGGCTCAATTTTATTATGACTCTTTAAATGCCGGTTTAGAGCGTCTTTCCGCGAGAAAGTACATTTACATTGTTCGCGTTTAAACATTTTATAGCGATAACTAACATGTGACATACACAAATTACTGTTGGATCGTTACTAACGCATCTAACAATGGTCAAGCCAAATAACAATAATAATATTTGCACACATTTCAAAATTCAACGTTTCAAAGATTTCTACTTGAATGCTGTCTAGCAATTTTTATACCCCTTGCCTTGAAATAACACTATACCTTTTTAGTACAAATTACGGTACATACTGATTTAATAAAATAATTTGTCATTATTTTAATACATAGGAATAGAAGGGATTTTAAGTATGGATAGGCAGGAAAACAAAAACCAGCGAAAAAAATATATACAAGTGTGTGAGAAAACATCTTGCTGAGATAAGATATTATGCTTAAAAAACATTTCCATGCAGATTTGTTGACAACATTATATATAGGTAATTAGGTAATATAAATTTATGTGTGCACATACTGTATATACGTATAATGGATCAGAGGTGTAGTGACGTCGGCACGATCCATTACTGGGCGGTGAGTAGTGGGGCGGCGGCCCGATCTATGGCTGGGCGGCAAGTAGTGGTGGGACGGCGGCCTGATCTATGGCTGGGCGGCGAGTAGAGGAGGTGGTGGTGTGTTGGTGGTGGCTACAGAACATACATTTCTCTACTAGTTTTGTAATTCGTATGTTGGTGTCTTACGATTCAACAGTTTTTAAGTGATTTATGAGCATTTTTAATTTAAGCTATAATATATTCACATAACTTGCTAAAAAACTGAACTATCGTAGAAAAACAAACATACAAACACACATAATGTTCTTACCATCAAGTTTCATAATAGGTCGATTCACTCTAATTTTTAAACTAAGAGAGCTAAACGTTATCTGCTGAGAGTAAATTTGCCAAGTTACGCACTTGTAGGACGGAGACAACAAAATATGTCCGTGGGGCGTCCTCTTAATTTAATAGTTTAAATTTATATTTTGTGTTTATCAATATTATATGAAGTGTGTTAAAATGTGTATAACAAGTTATCAAGTACCTATTGATTAATGATTATTGACATTTATTGTAGATTTATAACTTAAGACATGTAATATTAGTAGTAGGTAGTTGTCAGGGAATGTGTGGGGCAAACCTCTCACGGCTTTGTGAATTACGCAAACATACGAAAAGATATTGAAAAGAGATGTCAGAGAAAAAAAAGTGAGTTTTGTCATGGAACACTCGGTAGAAACGAAGTTTCTTTTCCAACAAATATTATAGATTACAAATACATTTTAGTGGAACCATAGGTTAGGTTAGGTTATAGCTGTGGTGGTGTGATGGTGGTGGCTACAGCCTACAGCACATACATTTCTCTACTACTTACAAACACCGATAATGTTCCTACCATCGAGTTTTATAATAGGTCGATTCACACCAATTTATAAACTAATGGAGCTAAACATTATCTGCTGAACGAAAATTTGCTAAGTTACGCAATTGAAAGACAGAGAAAACAGTATATGTCCTTGTGGCGATTTCTTAAGACGTCTTTATAACGTTTAAATAACTTTTGTTATCTAGTGATTTTGATGGCCACCATTATCGTCAAACGAGTGTTGAAAGCGTTGTACAGTCGAATCGTGTACCGTACTATAATAACCGTTTGCATTTTTTGTTGAACGTGTTGTGACTTGTGGTTATTATTTTTCGCTTCTTAACTTGTGCTTAACTTTGTTCCAAAATTTGGGACAGTCACTTGGAAGCTTTCTGTAAGTTCGAGAAAATGACTATCAATATACACATATCTGGACCAAAAATGATTCTGCATAATAAAACAATAGCAGAAATGTTTGTAAATCAGTTGAATAACAATCAAGGTCTTTTTGGTGTAAGCCATTTGATATTGTAAAATTATTACGAGTATACAATTATATGTGCATGCCTACCCATGGCACGTATATTATGTATTTTATTATTAACGTATTTATTGTATTAATTTATACAGATCGACTGTTCAACCGATAAAGAGTACGGTTATCCAAAATTGAAAAAAGACGTTTTAGCAATGGCTACTGCATTTCAAAAACATGATCTTGGACACGGAGACGTTGTAATGATTATAGACTATGGTTCGTACGAAGGACAGGTAGTTATGTTAGCTGGGATTTTGGTCGGAACAACTATAGCTCCATTGGATGGCAGTTTAAGGAGAAGTACGTAATATTAATGATTTCATACTATAGCTTGATTTGTTTCACTTATCATAAACGATATTTTACAGGTGTCTTGACAGAGCTTATTAATGAAACCAAGCCGAGCGTATTGTTTTGTAATACTTTTAGTATAAATATAATAACAGACATTTTAAATACTATCAAGCATCGACCGATATTGAAGATTTCTACCATGATCCATGATGACTTTACTGCTTATTCAAATATTATCGTTGTTACGGCGGACGAAACTTTATTAGTCCGTCCGATAAAATCAAAAAGCCCGATTGGTCCATTCGCTATCATATATTCGAGTGGTACTACAGGAACTCCGAAAGGAATATATTTATCGGACGATGCTATGAAATCAGCATTAATATCGCTCAAGCAGTGAGTGTCTGTATATATATAGTTTATAAGTCAAAGAATAATTTTTTAAAAAAACAATGTTAAAAATGGTTTGACGCGGTATGGTAATTTGGAATAATTCTATGCCATGAAATGTTATAAGGTCAGTGATGGAAGAATCTACTGAAAACAGGTTTATCAATACTTCACCTATATTTTGGTATTCGGGAATGGTATCATTGACACTCGGAATTCATTTCGGCAAACCAAGACTATTTTTCTCGGCAAAGTCAACCGCTGAACAAGTACTTTGTTCAATAGACAAATTTAAAGTAAAGACTATTATATATATAATAGTCAATATATATACATATATTACATAAATCATCACTCACTGCTTGTAATAATAAGTTGTAATTTTTTATAAATAAAATACTAAAATTATTTAGGTTACCTATAAACACTCAACCGAACTAATGAAACGATTTTACGCAATAACACTAAATCAAACACATAAACACTTATATTAGTTTTAGAATTCTATGCACGAAATGTTTATCTATTTTAGATTCTGAGTGGAACGATGAATGTATTGATTTTACAATGATGTGTGTTTTTTTTTTTTTGTGTCTGTCATCACCTTTTAGGACAGTAAAAGTGCTTGGATTTTCTTCAACAGTATCTTTTCTGATAGGAAAGTGAATCTAGTTGGTACTTTGAGGGGTCAAAAGTAAAAGTTTCCCAGTAGTTTTCAAAAGCGCAGTGGAAAACAAAAGAAAAATTAAGGAAAAACGGGAATTTTTACGCAAAATCTATTTTCGAGAAAATCGATTTTGGTTTTTAGTGTAACTTTAAATTTTGAAAATATTTTGACACATTTTGAGCTGTTTACGGACATTTTCAGTTTTCAAGTTTTCAAGTTTTCAAAAAAGACGCTAGGTACACCCACATGTGTTGTATCCGTATTTAAAACGTAGATAGGTACAACATAGTCAAAACTGTTTTGCACGGGTATAAGAACCATTCAGGCTGTTCTCTAAGCTAAGAAACTAAATGTTCACACTATAAAAATGAGAAAATTTACTGTGTAACATTGTTTTTATACAATGTTCTCCTCTTTCTAGTAGGAACATTAGGTTGCATAACTTGAGCTATAGAGTGAGTGGTTCTTATACGAGTAAAACCGTTTTTCTATGTTTTACATTTGTAAAATGGAGACCACACAATGCGGGTGTAGAATTCTCCAGATAATATTTTTCATTCCGAATTTATTCAATTCAGCGTAGCCCGAAGAATAAATAAATATATTAGTAGAAACCAAGTAATAACCAAAGTTATAAATAGAAAATTTCGTAGCCAACCGTGAACTGTAAGATAATATAATTTTCTATAATAATATGATATAATATGATTGCTGCATACTGTTTAATGATTTGACAAAAACTGAAACACTGAAACGTGCATTCACACAATACTGTTTTAATCGTGAATTCGTAAACAGTTGTCAATATTTGTAATGGAAAGAAAAATTCCGAACCAATAAACCACGATAGTTTATAAATGATTGGTGAAATACTGAAAAAAATTGAATGTGCTAGTTTGAAGCTTGGGGGTGCTAGGCTATGACTGTACAGCAGAGCACCTTTTTAGTCCTACATTTCTAAGCTAATTATAGTACAAAATTATTTCTATAATGTCAATGAGCGTTAATCATAATAAATAGAATTTATATTAACATTTAACATGAAAATCTAGTTAAATTCGAATCATTATTAGTGTTAAAAGATATCAAGTAATAAGCAGAAAGGGGGTAGAAAAAAGGGAGAAAAAATAATTAAAAAGAAAGTATGAGGAGAAAAAAAGATGTTTCTATCAAATTTGTTTGTAGTTATGTGTGTAGTTGTGTATGTTATTGATCCATTGTTAATCATGTATTAATCATATTATTTATGATATGACATTTATTTTTAAATTATAGTTATAGCCTTTTGTCATTAGTCAAACAAACATAATACCGTTTTATCGTATGCTATAATAATATGATTTACGTAAGTCTATGTTTTATAATTTAAAGCCAACATTCCTGATGACCGGTGTGGCCGCAGTAAATGAAATGATGGCTTGTCAAATGGCGAATGGTCACAAGTACGATATACAGAGTTTAACGACATGCGTGGTTGGCGGGTCTCCGATGCGAGCCGATTTACAAAAATCAGTTGTCAACAATTTACTGCAGGGAAGGATACCGATCAAACAATTGTACGGGGCTTCTGAACAGGGCATTATAGCCGCTTGGTCTATGGATTCAGATATAAGTACCGTCATTGCCGGATCTGTAGGGAGACCAGCAGCTGGTATTAAAATCAGAGTGAGGCGTGAAAAAAAAAACATTTGTACTGCGTAGGTAATTATATCGTAAACATTGTTTTTAGATCGTCAGCTTGGAAACTGGCGAATGTGTTGGGCCCAACACCGAAGGCGAAATTCGTATTAAATCGGTTTCCAACATGGTTGGCTACGTCAACGACATGAAAAAAACAATTTGTTCGTACGATGAGGACGGTTGGTTCAAGAGCGGAGACGTTGGATATTACACAGACGACTGTTGTTTGTTCATCGTCGGTCGGATTAAAGAGTTGATGATTTACAAGGACCAGAGGGTACAATATTCGAATCGAATTTCGTTCGAAACACCCGCGCAATTACATACAATTAAGGGGCCTGCACGCGACCTGTTTTTTTGCTCAAAAACATGCCTTACAGGAAAAACTCTCACGCCTCGTAGATTGGTCCGATTTCTGTAATTTTTTTTTTGTTAGATAGAGGAAAACTTCTTACAGGGCGCATTGGACTTGGATTTTCAACATTATTTTTCTAAGTCTTATGTTACAAGTTTGAATTTAATCAATTTTTACAACTTTTTAGTTTTTGTATTATTTTTTGTTTTTAGCGACGTAATCAAAAATCAAAGTCCAATGCGCCCTGTAAAAAATATTCCTCTATCTAACAAAAAAAAAATTACGGAAATCGGACCAATCTACGAGGTGTGAGAGTTTTTCCTGTAAACTGTGTTTTGACCGATATAATACACCCTATCAACCCCCCCTAAATAGGTATTGGGTAGTAGATTAGTGGAAAAGTCTTATAATTGAGGTAGCAACTAAAATATAAAATTTAATTTTCAAATTTTATAGAATTGCGGAAAATTTGAAAAATCGCGAGCAGGCCCCTTAAAATATATAACCGATTTGTTTTCCGTCAATATGATAATATAATAAAAACGTTTATAGATTGCACCGACCGACATAGAAACCGTTTTATTAAGTCATCCTGCCGTACTGGATGCCGGAGTGACGGGAAAGTACAGTGTGGACGGAGATTTGTTGATAGGAGTTGTCAAAGTCAAACCGGGTCAAAAAGTCGAACCCGACCGACTCTTATCGTATGTCAATGGTGAGACGGCTATACAGTCATGAATGATATTATTAATATGTCTCACCGAAATGTGTTTAATTTGTGGTTATTATTCTTCGGTAATATATTTTTCAGACAGGGTGAAAGACCACGAGAGACTGCGAGGTGGTATAATATTCGTAGACGACGTGCCTAGATCTCCAGCCGGTAAATTGAAACGAGAAGAACTTCTTAATATTGTACAATGATTGCATACAATTTATTATAATTAATCGAAATAAAGTTATTAATAAATGTGTGATGCAAAATATTTTACACGGTACCTACACAGATGATTTACATATATTTAATAATTAATAGACACTATTGTCTAAAATACTGTAAAATACTGCCGGTAACTCGAAGCTCACGGGGGAAAATAATAGGTAAGTCATAACTGGAGTCCGGATAGTTATATTTTTAAATGTCTTCATACAATTTGATGTGAGTGAAAAATTAAGACAATTTATTAAACATTGAACACAGTTTTTAATAATGCATTCAATAGAGTTTAGTATAAGTTGGTGTTTTTTTTGTAGTTTTGAATATGTCAGGGGTACGAAGATATTGAATATTGGTAATGTGTGAAAAAAAAATATAATTTGTTTTAATTTTAAATTAATAATATTACTAACTTCAATTTTAAGGTTGGTAGGTACCTACTATGCAATAAAACTTTTATTTTTTTAATCATTCATCAATTATATTTTATTCAAGGGGTCTCACTGTAGCATTGATTTAAGGAGAATCATTTAGGCAATTTCTAATCTTGTCGGACACCGGAAATCTATTTTTTAGTCGTAAATGATTATTAGTGTGTCGTGTGTGTGGCGTCCATGCGGGTCGATTGTAGCGGTACTAAGGGCTCTTGCACGAACTTGCACGCACATGTAAAATTGTAATATTGTGATCATGAAAAAATTTGAATTTTTTACAATATTTATTGCAATTTAAATTAAAAAAAATTAAATATGTGGCTCGATCGTTCAAATGTATATATTAAGGATAATCCAAATATTTTTTCAGAATGAAAATCGTGAAAATTGTTGACACGTATCATTGGAATTAGAAACAGTAGTTTTTGACAAAAAAAGACGTGGTGGTGGACCTTAAGTTGTTTAATTGTGGTTTTGTGACAAAATTATTTTACTTTGGTCATATGAACTCATAGGTCATAACCTTTTATATAAAATGTTATTAACATAAATCAAAGAATAAATGTCATGTCTAGAAATATATAAATTTAGGGAAAATTTAAAGTGCTTACCTACAAAAAAAAAAACGAAATCGATTTTGTCAAACTAGTATATCGTTTGGCAAGGGCAGAAATTGTCTTCCCGCACGAGCCACTCATACTATTTTTTGTCACGACTCTGTGTTCATCGATCACGGCAAAGGTAATGCAGTCATCTCTATGCAACAACTAGATTATTCTACAAAAACAATATTTCATGAAATAAACGATTTGGTTTTATTTATTTTATGCTTCATGCATGTATGTTATAACATGAATATAAGATGTAACCAAAAGTGTATGTTTTGTAAGGATCGTGGTATAGATATTAGATTTCAGAATAAATAATAATTATTATATTAAAATAAAATAAGAATAAAGAAAATATGTGATTACGGCAAAGGGAATGCACAATGCATTATATGCAGGGATCTATCCAATAATCAGATTAATCTACAAAAGCAATTTCATGAAATAAAAAAGTTAACGCGTCATGCAAGGAGGTTAAAATATGAATATAAGATGTAACCAAAAGTTTATGTTTTGTAAAAACCGTGGTATAGATTTAAGTGTCTGGCTGTCAGGGACGGCCAAATGTACTATCCAGGCTATATTTGGCATTTCTAATATCTACGTCGTAACTCGTAACGAGGTGGGTTGCTGTGAGGGGGCTGATCATATGTTATAAAAATTCACAATAATAAAATTATTACTTGGCAGTATTAAAATTTTTAATATCATATTACTATATTATATAAAATACAAATACAATTTCACAACTGAGGCCGTATTTTTTTTTATTTACCGAAATTTTTTGAATATATTTCCAATCATATTGTGTACTACTTCACTTAGTATATTTTTTAGGCAGTGGCATTACTTATGTGTTTAGGTAGTTGCAGGTAAGCATTATATAAGATTGTTAGTTTACTATTCATTATTATTCTCCTAGACTCTACGCCATACATGTCAACTTATTCAACTTAAATAAACAATCTTAGGTACATATAACGATTCATTTTTTGAATAATTAAATATGGAAATAAATCATTTTACGTTTTTGTTTATGTTCAATGTCATTAAAATAGAAATATTTATCTTGTACAAATATAAAGTTATATTGTGAAATACAAAACAAATTACTACCTATCATACCAATATAATAAATATTTAATATACACATACAATTAACACTAATGACTGAATCCAATCAGATTCATTTTATTCTAAGTACATATTATGATATATATTTATTTGGTATAATCATATAGATAAAATTAGAAATTTTTTTAAACTTTATTGAGTTTTATATTGTACCAAAGTATTGTGTATTATTTATAACATATTAAGTTATAGATTGCGTAAATTGCGATATTGTTAACATTTATATTTCTAACATAATAAGTAATAACTAATTAAATTAAATTAAACAATTAATATAATTGATATACCTTTATACAAATATAATAATTTATGATATGTTTAATTATGTAAAACAGGTAGTCAATCTCTATTGATGAATATATAATAATATAATGTTTTATACTGCTAATATATAGTATAAGTCTAAACAGTACTTTATGATAGACAACTATAACTATATTATGTTAATTAGTAAACTGTTTAGAACTATTGGTTAATTCAATAATAATTTTCTTCACACACCATGTTTACTTAAGTGTAATTTATGTTTTTACAATATTCATGATCAACATCTCAAAAAAGTAATAATATTTTGGTATATATATATAAGAAAAATGTGAAGGGGGGTGTTGGCGCCCGCAGGCAATGCATTTAGAAAACCAAAAAAAAATTAGAAAAAATGATACGATAATAAGGCATATTGAAGAGTTCAAACTAAAACGTCCAGAATCCAAAACAGAAAAAACAATACTGCCAATGATTAGCTCACTAATGAATAATGATACAGACTGCACCTGCTTCTTAACAAT